GGATTACCTGCCTCAACTGAGTGCAGAGCTAAAATCCTTCCACAGACAGTTCTTTTCCTTGATCTCCTTAACAACCTGGGAGATTGCAACCTGAAGTGCCAGGTTTGTGGTTCTTGAACAAAGCAATCACATGAGCAATTGCTTAACTGCCTCACTTAGTGGCTGAGGGTTAGTGTTAGGGTTAGGCAAACCTAACTGAATCCGTCAACCTTATGGTGATTATCCTCTTTTTTTTCCTTTCACCTTCCTTAGCATTACAGCCTTCTCTAGATGTCTTTGCATAATGTGTCCAAAATATGAAAATTTGAGTTTTGCCATTTGTGCCTTAAGTGAGAACTCTGAATTGATTTCTTCAGTTATCCATGTCTTTGTTTCCTTGGCAGCCTATGATATTCTTTTCCAACACCACAAAGTTCAAGAGTGTCAGTACTCTTCTGTTTCTTTTAAAATCCAACTTTTGCTTCTGTAGAGTGTCACAGATAATACCATAGCTTGTAAGATCACTAGCCCTCTCTTGCACTGAGGGAATTTTTCCATTTTCATCATTTAAGTTTTGTTGTCTATACTAAAATCATTTGGTTGTTTAGGAATATATTTTATTCAAACCCTATGATTTATCCTAGCTGCCCGTGCTCCAATCACATTTTATCTATGTGAGTTTTATGCAAAAGTACTTAGTTGTGAGTGGCTGTTTAAATATAGATACTCAGTGCAACTTGATTTTTTGTCTGAAAAAGGCTATAGTCTTATTTATAGATTTAAAGAAGGTATAATGTCATTTAAAATTCTACATGTCTTTTTATATGCCTTTTAATTCTTTTTATATGTATTTTAATTTTTGATTGGAGCCGCCCAGAGTTGGTTGAAAGATGAGTGGCTATATAAATACTTTAAATAAGTAAATAAAATTAATTTTTATGTTCTTTTCTAGATATCCCGACATTATGGCACAATGAGTTCCATGTCTGGAGCAGATGATACAGTTTACATGGAATATCAAACCTCACGAAGCAAGGCGTCTTCAAATAAACATATTCATCCACTTTTTAAACGCTTTAGGAAATAATATAAGGAAAATGCATTATATCTCCTTCCTATAAAAAGAAATATTAGAAGTTCATATTTCATAATTGAGGAAATGGAATAAGCAATTTGCTCACAACTGAAGATAATTATTTCAGTATTCTATATTCTGGGAATACTATTAACTTTATTTTTATTTAATAATTTCAGAGATTCTTAAGAATATTTGTGAATGTGTTTTATATTTATATTTGTAGCAAGAAGATAATAAGAGTGCAAGTATCTGAAAGCACTGAATAAAAATACTCTATATTAAAAGACTCTCATCTCCCCCCATTCATGATTTTATTCTGGTGTCTTAAACCACCTTATAGTGATTTAGTCTGGCTGTTGGGGCTGGGAGGTGGGAAAAGTATGAAACAGAGAAAATGTTATTGGAAAAAAATGTTGGAAAGACTAGGGATAAAAAGGGTAGAAATATTTAACCACATGCAGACTTCTGCTAAGGATATTTGACTATTATTCTTCATTCTTCAGAAAAAAATCAGTTGTACTAGGATTAGGGTTCATTCATTTTCACTATTTATGTTCTTATACTGCAGTATAATAGGTAAAAAATTAGGCAATGCACTACACACTATACATCCTGTACAAATTTCAGCATTCTAGCTTACTTTAAAACTTTAAATTAATCACTACATAATTCCCATGATCTCATATTAAAAATGTGTACTTCCTTTTCTTAATTAGAAAATGTCAAAGGATAAGATGTCATTTTGACATGACTGCTGAGTTCATTTGACATATTCTCCATAGGTGGTATTTGATAAATATGTATACAACAGAAGTAATTAAATTGAAGGTTACCCAGCTGTCAGAAAAAGGCACAAAGACAAACATGAAGAATGACTGTCACTATGACTCAAGCTAACATCAAGTAAAACAAATTAAATTTTCCATCTCCTTTTGCTTTAGTGGGAGGCAGCTTAGGATGTGATCAGTCTTAGTAAAGTAAAACCCTATAAACCTAAGTTGCCAAACTTATTTTTTTTAAAAAATGGTAAGTGTTGAGTTCAAAGAGTGAGAAAACAATTACAAAAGCTGCTGTCCAACAATCATTACTCACACACAACTCCTGTTGATTTCAAAGAGTTCTGCCTGAATAGTGATTGAAAGGGTGAGACCTAAACTGAGAGACCATTATGAGGTTACAGAGAAAAAAGATAGCATACCTTTTGGATTTATCTCTAATGCAACTCTATTAGAAGTAAAAGGACTTCCGGCAATTTATTATGAGCATGCCATATTGTTAATTATGTTCTGGTAATTATCTTCAGCATATTTAAATATATTTCAATAAACTGAGGTCTGAAAACAGTTAATTACAACCACTAAAATAATTACTGCAATTTGTTTTAGATGAAGCTACCTATGAAAACTTCAAAAGCTGCAGTAGGTAAAGAATAGATTCACTTCAGCCATATAAATACAAGTGGATAGCGCTGTATTATATAGGCTTTAAGTGGAATTCAAGAGTGTTGTTTTTAATTCTTAAAGTCCTACATCAATGGTGGCGAACCTATGGCACGCGTGCCAGAGGCGGCACTCAGAGCCCTCTCTCTGGGCACGCATGCCATGCCCTGGAGATGGCAACTGTCCCTTTTCAACCAGCCGCCCGTTAACTCGCCGAGGTCCCACATGGCCGGATGCATCCCAGCATGGCTGAGTTCCTTCCCCATCATCCCATCCTTCCTGGCCTCGCATGCTCTCCTTTTCCCGGGCACGACCCACTGAACCGCCTCCTCAGTTGTCGGTCGGCCGTCCAGCTCAGAGGCGGCTTCTCTGAACTGCTAGCGGTGGGCTGCGGAGCCCAAGAGTACGCCGATTGAGGGGCCGGCAGGTTATGGCTGCTGACAGACACTTGGCCCCCATGTGTTCGCTGGCTTCTGTGTGCCGGGGCCGATGGTGTCAGGAAGCAGCCGTCCTGGCCCCTGCGTTGCCTGGCCCTGCGACAATGGCACCCCCGCCCTGCCTCACCTTGCCTCGCCTCACCCTGCAGGACCCCCTGGATCTCCCCCAATCCTGCCCGGCCCCCCAGGCATCCCTCCCCACGACCAACATCGAGGTGACCATGCCCACCTTGGTCACACCCACCCAGTCTGTCATGACCACCACAGCCACGCCCACCCAGTGGGCCACGCCCACCTGGCACCCGGCGATAAATAAGTGGGTTTTGGGTTGCAGTTTGGGTACTCGGTCTCTAAAAGGTTCGCCATCACTGTCCTACATGTTTTGCTAGTAAGTAAATTCAGGATGATCTCCAGATGCACTGACCCTTCCAATACACATTATCCTAGGTGAGAAGGCTTAGTATGTCCAACATTTATGAGGTGAAGAGAGAGAGCGCCTGAAACAGTGTTTTACCTTGTAGTTTGCATCTATCTTACCCATCCCTCCAGAAAGACCCCGACAATGGAACTTCTGCAGAAACATTTAAAACCTAATGGTTTTAATTATCGGCTGATACAATAGTTCTATAGTTTACTTAATTGTTGGCTTAGCTGATTCTATGTAGTAACACAATTGTGGATGGTGGCCTAAGCTAGTTTTTTAAATATTATTTCCATTTTGAAATATCTAGACCAATTATTTGGTTTTTTTCTTGGATATAGAATTGAAACTACTTTGGTAACTACAGTGGATATATGAAACTGGACACGAGTAAAACTAAAGGAGCTAATAATGCTATTGACAATCGTATTTGTCTTTCCTATTATCCCATATCTAGAATGTAATCTTGGGAAATGATTGTTATTCATTGACCTGTATGTTACACATTATTCCAATTTGTCCCCTATGTGATTTAATAACTTGAAATATCAAAGTGGACATACTCTTGAAATTTGAGCTCAATGTGTTTCCTGAATTAGAATGAACTTCACTTAGATTAATGCTAAGTAATAAAATAAATTTTGTTGATCAGTGAAGTCTATACAGATAGTCTTTGACTTACAACCATTTGTTTAATGACCATTTGAAGTTACAGTAGCATTGAAAAAAATGACTTAACTATACTGCAAGGTAGTCTTTGGATTGGATAGTACCATCTCCACAAATAAACCCCCTTTATTAGCAAATGGGATTGACATCAAGCAAAAGATTCCATTGGAAGATGAGGACTTTTTTTAAAGGATTCCTTGGGGTCAAATTGCCCATTTAAATGAAATTATAATGAATCAAGATTAGAATTATATTTGTACACATCAGAAGCAATTCTGAGAATAAAGTGACAAACTTAATGAGTTTTCTCAGAAATCCATGCAAACGGATTCTGACAGGATAAAATTGTCTTTTCTCTTCATAGTTATTTTTTAATCTTTTAAAATATCCAACTATAATAAAAATTAAAACATGGCACAAACAAAATCAAAATAATTACATAAAATAGTTCTGCTTTAGAGAAGGCACATTAGCTTCAAGATACAGTATTATCTGTATTTAATATGAAACATAAAATGAAATTAAGCACTGATGAATATCACTAAACGATGTCTTTTTGTGCCTTTTCTGTAATGCATTGCTACACATTAAATAAACTTTCAAATGTTCTATTTTAGTATTAACTGACACATAAAAACCAAGTAAACTACAAAAAATAGACACGTAACTCATTTTTTTTTGCCAAACCAATGTAAAATAGAAGCCCCAATGTTGGCACTGTAAGATGATGTATTTAAGTATGGCACTTTTCCGACCTAAATGAAACAAAATGCATCATCGGCTTTCTCTCTTGAAGTCTCAGACCACCCCGCCTTTTTCAGCCTCCGGGGAGGGAGTCTTTAATAATGGCCTGTGTAAACTGATGCTTAGGCAGTAAGAGTTTGGAGAAGCGCTGCTTGACTAGAAATCAAACAGAGAAGCTCAGTTTAAATGAAAATCAGTTTGTGAGGGTTAGCAAAAGTTTTGTCTAACTTAAAATGTCTCTTCTCTCCAAAGCTTTGAAAATGGATTGCAAACAGGTGATTGAGGCTCAAAGGAACTGTGTTTATAGTGTTGTTTTTGGCAATAAGTTTCACCAGCTGCCCAAACTTTCAGGCAGCACTTCCTTGGAGATGCAAAATAATGCAGCTGCAGCAACAGAGGACAAAGAAGAGGAGATGGTGGAAACTTCAGAGGAAGCCAAGGGACTTCTCAAACCCAGCCAGCATCCAAGCTGCCGAAGAGTGAAAAGCCTGAAAGAAATGCCAGGACCCAAGACTTTCTCCAATCTCATTGAATTTTTCTGCAAGGATGGTTTTGCCCGCATTCATGAAATCCAGGTACAATTTAATGAAAAACAATCATTGTTGAGATTGATTATATTTGCTTTTTGTTGCACAAAGCAATTCTTAAAACTTAGCTTGCTGTTTATGGCGATGACATCTTAATACTAGAGTTTTACTACTAAGAATAAGTATTATTTCCTACTTTCTCTCCATCTCCCAGCTATCATGTTGTTTGGTTGTGATGATTTGTTTTTCATTCCGCAGAAATATTTTAGATTCCGATTTTATTAATAACATATATTGCAGTGGAGTGGAGTGGCGTAACTTGTGGGGATGAGGAATAAGAGACTGTTAACTTAACCCCTATACTTAAGGTATCTGCAGCCTTTAAATGGTAGTCAGGTTAATGTTAGCATGTTTACATGTGCACGTTCCCATACTTAGAGCAAGGCTGCAAAAGAGAGGGAAACAGGAAAATGATTCAGTGAATGCTTGGATTAGTTTACAGCTGCATCCATTTCCGTGGGAGTTAGTTCCAAGTAGATATATACTTGGATTTTTATTTTAGTTGCCTCAAGAGTATTTCTGCACTGAAATATCTTTTCCGCTTGAGATTGAATTTAATTGACCAAAATACTCTCCGTTGGTTTTCCAATCTGGTTGCAAGAGTGTCCGGGTACAAGTCACATTGCTGGGCTTTGCCCACAGAGCCAACAGCAGCCTATTTTCAGGCTTTCAGCCACCCACCCACCCACCTCTCTTTCTCTCAGGGTAAGAGACCATTTTGTCCTTTTAGCTTATTCTGGCCCCTACCCACGTTCTTCGGTATACAGCGCTATTAAAAACTGCTGCTGCTCGTTGTATACATGCTATAGATTATTTCATTTGGACGATTTAAGGGAGAGAGCAGCAGCACGATCTGCCGGCTAAGCATTTAACAGCCTCACTAACAGAAAGGCGGGCATTGTGAAGCCCTCCCATTTTTCAGCCGGCTTGCCGTTCTCGCTTCACGGAGCTGCGAGCGCGAGCCCGCCGCTTCGCGCGCCCGCGAGGTTCTAACGGTGCCAAACCCCCCCGCCCCCCCCCAACAACAACAGCACATTCTCCCCACAAGGCGCTTCCAAGGTGGTGGTGGGGGGGGGACCGAGCTAGAACCACGAAAACCCTACTATCTTTTCCGTTCGTTCTTCCAATTTCCATTCAGTTGATAAGAAAACGAACCCTGCGTCGTATTCAATCACTGACGCGGAGCGCGCGCAGTGCGTACACGCGCGCTTTCTAGTGGTGGATGGATCGAATTTCGGGAGAATGGGCCAGGATTCTCCGACCGTCCTCTTTCCCCATTGGCTCCTGATTACTATTATTTTTTTTACATTTGGCTCCGTAGTCCCTCCCCCATTCCATGACAAGATGGTTGCCATGGAGCGAGGGTGTTTTCACACATCTAATATTTGCTTACATAGATTCCGCCTCCCTTCGCCCCCCCCCCCCCGAATCTTTGGTGCTTTTGACATCCCCCGTTGCTGGCAATGAGAGCGTCAGTGTTTCTCAACTCTTGCTAAAGAGCTCGTATTTCTCAACAAGCATAATTATCCCACTTATCCTTTATAGAGGTCTATAAAACAGAGGTAAGCCAAGCCACTAAAGCAGTGGTGACGAACCTATGGCACGGGTGCCAGAGGTGGCATTCGGAGCCCTCTCTGTGGGCACTCGCGTTGTCGCCCCAGTCCTGGGCTTTCAGCTGGGTTTTATAAAACCTTTTCGCTTTAGGCCTCCGCCGCTGTGTGCAAAAAAAAAAAAAAAAAGTTTCAATCAGTCAATTTCAACTTCTCGCAGGAAAAAAAAGATCTTGCAAAGTTGAAATTGATTGATTGAACTTTTTAGTCCCACCCAGTCTGCCGTTACCACCCCAGCCACGCTCACCCAATGGGCCACACCCAGCCAATGGGCCAAACCGCCCGGCACTCGACGATGCATAAGTGGGTTTTGGGTTGCAGTTTGGGCACTCGGTCTCTAAAAGGTTCGCCATCACTGCACTAAAGGAAACAAAATGTATTTGAAAAACAAGAATGGAATGTAATTAGTTAAAACTGTATAAAGTCATTTCTAATTGCATGCCAATGCTAATCGCCCTTCCAGCAGGAGCCATCTTTTGCTTGTGGGGGCTTCTTTGGTGAGAGGAGGCTCTGGCCACCACATAAGAAAAACCCAGCTGTATCATGGAAAAAGAAAGGTTGTAAGAAGGCCCAGACTGGTACAGTAATGGCACATGGTGCTGTAAGCAGGGCTGGGTGGTGCAAGTGGCAGCATTGGGTAGCCAAAATAATGGAGATGGCGGGGGGATTTAAGAGGAAGCAGTCCCATACCATAACAAGGCTTGCGGCTGGGTGGGAATTGGGCTGGGACCTCAACTATTGACTGGTAAAATTTGGTAAATGACAGTAATGAGGCTGCCAGGATTGCAATAGCTAAATGATATGGTCCCATGACTATCACTTGGTGACAAAAATTTCGGCCTCTGTTTCTGTTAACTGAGGACTACCTCAGAATCACTGCTGTGAGATGGATGGCTCCATAAATCATAAGTATGATTTTTACAATATCTCAATTACCTAATCTTCCTTTCACTACCCACTGAGGGACTCCTTTCCAGTTCTTCCAATTTGCTTTCTTTACAGCTCAAACAACCAAGAGCAGGTATCTTGAGTTTGCTGGAAATGCATCTGTGGTCAGCAGTTGGGAGTTTATTCATGTCTCTTAGTGAGATAACAATTTATAGGGATTGTGGATGAGTGAATAATTCACACTAAATGACAAGACAATGCACAAAAGAATCCATTGTTAACCTACTAGCTTTACTGAGCACAAAATAGATAAGTTTTGCTTCAGTATTTTTATACACATACTTTTCACTCTCATATACCAAATCCTCAAGAGGCAATTACCCAAGGAGATAAAATGGCAAAAACAACTGCAGTTTCAGATGGTAAATATACACAATGTTTCCAATCAACTTCTTGTCCAGCCTTTTATAGCAAATCCTCCTCCTAGTTCAGATGTTGATAATGTTGATTAAGTCCATTTCAGCTAGGTTTTGTTTTCTACTTGATAAAACATTTCTTACCTTTGGTTGATTTCTAGTTCTATTTGGTTTACCTTATTATAGGGAGCTTTGTTCTTTGTTAGCTTTCTTGCTCTGGTTGCTTCCACCCCCCATGTCCTTCCCTGATTGTTAAAGACAGTCTGTAATATTATCAATATCCTTATTCAAGATCATTATGGTTCAGTAGGATATCTTGCAATGATAGGTAGAAATTTCCTGGAAGATTACAAGAACCAAACATATTGAATCCATTTGTTTAATATGTAGCTGATGATAGCTGACCACTACACCTAAAGTAGCAAAATTTAATCAGATATAAATTTGTCCATATTTTAATTATATTCGCCATATTTCATTTCACATAACTTTGAAAAACTGTTAGCAAGTTTTTTTTTACTACTTAGCCATGTCCAAAAAATACTTTGAGCAATTGCTAATTGGAAAAGCTACAAAGATGCCAAACCACCTTTCCTCCACTACATTTAACTGCTCCCAGGAACTAATGGTGAAGGATAGCATGTCAGCATTTTGAGCTACAGTAATTAGATGCTGCTATGGTAACTGGAATAAAGGAGATAATCAAACAAATTGGTTATTGAGCTTCAAGGGGGGGAAATTGTCAAGTTCAGGAGTTAGGAGGCAAGATGAGACAATTGGCTGGCCAGAAGTCTATGGAGATACAATTCTGTAAAGGAAACAAAGCTTTGCTCTTATGTCTGAAAACTACAATAGAACAAAAACAGAAAAAATGACTCAGTTTTCAAAACTAGGAAGTGTATGATGAAATAGACCAGGGGTGTCAAACTTGCCACATCACGTGATGTGTTGTGACATATCACAACTTTTTTTCCATTGCCGGCAATGGGGTGGGCTGGTTTTGCCATGACGCATCCGGCCCATGGGCCGGCAGTTTGACACCCCTGAAATAGACCAAAGCTATTTTTGAATTAGCAGAGAACTCTGCTTGGTTGCGTATTTGTGATTTTAAAAGATGCCTAATCAAATGTAACCAATCATTTCAAATTTGTTGGTACAACTTTACATCTAAACAGAGAAACTATTGTTCAACTGTTTATTGGAAGCTGCTGAAAGTGGTATTGAGAAGGACTCTGAAAGACACTTCCGGTGGCAGGCGATTTCGCTGGTCGCAGCTGTTTGCTGCCTCCCGCCTGTTTTGCGTAAAAGCCGGTTTGACAGCTAGCATCTGCTGTCAAACGGCTTGATACCTTTCCCCTGGGCATAAGGGGATCGGTGAGCTGCCCGGGGTAGGAGTTGAGTTCCCGAGTCGTCCTATATGGACGATGTAGGTGAGAACT